AACGTGTTCGTTCCGGTCCTCCAGCAGCCACTGTCAATGCGTTGTGGTCACGCATAGAAACCGCGTGGAGGTGTGTTCCCCAGCAGCACATCCAGGCTCTCTTTGAATCCATGCCTCGACGTGCAGAGGCGCTAATGGCAGCGCGTGGCCGCTTCACACCGTACTACATACTCACGGCCAAAATGCAGGTACAGTTCTGTAATTCTAATCACTTTTGTATATTGTGATCTTCCTAATCTGTGGAAGAAATTTCGTTGTAATAGCATGTCTCCTTGGTGTTGCAATTTTCACAAATGGAAATGGAAAGTGGAATCATGGAAATATTAATTACGAAAATCGTTGGAAGATCAAGGGGTGAATCGGGGGAAACGAAATTAATTTGAGGGTTACAGTTAAAATTTCGTATTGCCCTCAAAACGCCAGGTATTTTTGTGGAAATTCACTATTCGTGTGTGAAAGATACAGAGATGTGTTGATTTCTACAGCACCGTTTCCTGCAGGAATTTCTCGCAGTTGCAACGGGTCCTGGAAGCGGCCTCGGCAGTTCACTAACCGAGGGGTCTCCGGACTGTCGCATCTCGTGCGGGTCGACCATCGCAGCGGCTATCGACGTCCGTCGCTTCGCGTTACGAACCACGTAACAGACATTCCCACCTTTGCGTGCGTAACTTCCCACAGTGGCGGACGGATGGTTATCGTTCATTCCACCGTCACTTTTTCACTTAACGGTTACTAACTTCTTCTATGCCTCATTGCTCAAGGGCGTTGACTCGTCGACGCAAAAGCCGCTGGTCAGAGATTTTTTTTCTCCGTGTTATCCTATCGCAGTGTGTTTCCATCTTCATTTTCTCTCGCACGAAGGTAGGCGAAATTCAATTTGGCGAATTAGTGCTTCGTATTAATGGTTGGACGCGTGGGAAAGCCTGTGGAAGGTTCTTGCTCGATAAAACAAATTCATGAAACCAGCTCTTTGAGGAAACGCGATGCGATGGCAATAGCTGGGGATGGCGAACTGAAGAAGCGCAAATTAGTTATCGTTGTGGAAGATAAACAGCGGCTTGCAGCGAATACCCGTATCATTCACCAGTGAATGTGTTTGCTGTCCTCGTGAATGAAAACCAGTATTTATACCACTTCACGCTTTATTGATTGGAAAGTGTTGCTTCGCGCTACTCCTACGGCACAATTGTCTTCAAATAACTTAAGGTAGCGCAAAAAAGTCGCGGTGGTCACACAAACGAAAATACTTGGGTACTGCAATGAAAACAAAACACTGGGGGGCGGCTTGAATCAGCACGTACTTTTACGGCCTTAATTTCATGCAAAATTACGGGAAAAGTATCCAATTTTCGAAAAATTGTTTTTGACCTTATTTCAACATCAACATCTAACAGATTTCATTAAGGGAAGAAATCACAATCTTTAAAATTTCAGTTACATGAAGACTCCGAAAAAATGTTGAACTTTTGCAATTTTCGGAAAATTAGAGTTTTCAACGCACATCGAGACCTGTACCATTCTCTTAAACGTCATTCTCACTATACAACGACAAAATTTATTCAAAAACGATGGAGCTTTTTTTTTATGTCCCAGGGGCTTCGTGTGAAGTACCCCCAAAAAATTAAAATTATCGGTTACAAACTCCAGGGCCACAACATCAGCCAGATCAATTGCAGAATGTCCATTTTGGAGAAAATCAGTTGAACAGTTTAGTCGCTAGGATTGTTCACAGACAGACGCACATGCAGGTTTTGCCGTCATTTGATTTTTCGGTATCAAATACAAAATATCGATTCTGGCTACACCAGTGTTGGAGGATTTTTTTCTAAATTTATCAACCTATATCAGGCCTTTTAAATAATAGTTTTTTTTGCAGAAAATTAGCCATTTTTCGCGCAGCTTTACATAACTTGCTCTACTCCGTAGCGAGAAAGTAAAAGTAATGTAAGCAATTCGTACAAAAGTGTTTTTACGAAAACAAATACATTCCAACTCTCCAAAAACACATTTATAGGAGCCGTCTACAATACCCAAGATCACAACGAAAAAGACTACTTGAATATCACAATGAAATGAACGTCGAAAATCTGTCTCTCCTCCCAATGCGTCCACACCCCCTTTCTCAGAGGTAACTCTTCCCTCCTCCCACTAACCTTGAGGCAAATAATCTACCTCATCCAACTATAACTCCAGAATCAATTCTTCGGCCAATAATAGATAATCTGCTCCAAAAATGTAACAGCTACCAAAAATTCTATACTGAGATTTAAAACTAGATGGAAGATCAGGTTGTGCTATAGCCAATAATACATCCTCCACCGTCGAATCTTATAAATACCAAATTATTTTGCCATATATTCCTGTGAAGATTAGACAATCCAGAAGTCTATTGAAATTAGTTCTCACTATGCTGATACATCGCCTATTGCCATCTTCACTGACTCCATTTCCTCGCTTAACGTCATAGAAAAGAGATACTCAGCCAATTCATGTATCAGAACGTATCAAATCCTTAGTGAAAATGGAATCCAAATGTAACGGGTATGGCTCCCGTTACATAGGGGCATTGATGGTAATGAAAAAAGCAGATATGGCTGTTAAATCTGCAACGCTTCGAGTTCCAGAAAAACATTTCTATGGGACGCTACTTGATGTTAAAAAAAGAGTTTAATGGTCTCATAGTTTTATAATTATAGAACAATGGAAATTCACACCGACAAAACTTCTTCTATAATTAGAAAATCAGTCATTGAAGAAGCCTTCCCAAAATTGAACATCAGCAAAAGACATCAAACTCAAAATGTATCAATTACACTTCAATAACTCTTTGTATAGCCTGTTCTAAACTAAAAAAATTAAATATTCTGTGGTAGCTGATGACCTTGTTTTAGTGACCTAAAATAATTTTAAAAAGTTTTTTTTAGGAAACAAACACCGTATCGAAAATTTTTATGAAAAGTCATTTGTTGAATTTTGTGGATTTAGATCTTTCGTGAGATCAACCGCAATTCTAGAAAAATTCTGGTTGATGAGGCATGTCACTGTTGCCGGATCGTTTACTTCTCTGTCATTATCTTTTAAAACATTCTCTACAAGATTCCTAGTTGATGTATTTTTTACCACATTCCACATTGCTATTATTTTGTTATTCGACTTCAAAATAACCTGATCGTGTTTCGTGATTTTAGCATGCCTTATGACTTTTCTTAACAATGATTTGTTTTGGAAGTAGATGTGGAAATCATAAGATACGTTATGGTGCTTAGAAATTTAAAAAATCTCCTACACTACCTTCTGTTCAACGAATTCAAGAATAAGTGATACTGAAGATATCACTGATCATGCTGACAGAAGTAGTACTGAACATATGGCATCGAAATAAACATTGTCACAACCATCACCAAACAACCGAATAGGCCCTTCCTACGACTATTGAGATGCCATTGGAAACTCGGACGCTATGACATACTAGGTTACACGAACTTTGTGTAGTAGGTTTGTTGAAGTTCATAGACATTACTATTATAGATTTGATTATCTCTACAATGGTGTATAGTAGAATTAAAGTTCATATTAGAATAACTATACTTACTGAACTACTTCGGGGAAGCGCACCTCTCATCAGATTCACTCGAGAGAAAAATCGGAGATTTGAAGCCATCGGTTGGTACGAAAACTGTCCGAATGCATTCATCTGCGGCCAGTATAAGATAAATGACACCAATCATTTGTACAATAATTACAAGCAGAATCATTGCATATGCGGAGAGAGCTGAGTGTGGTTCAAATACCGAGCTGTCCATTTTGCGGCCGGTCTCCATGAGACATTACCTTGAGGCGTACTTTCTCACCAGTGACAGGCAGGTCTGCCAATCATTGCTTTTGTGACAATACAAAAGTTAATTTATAATATTTCTTCCTTCATACAGCTGATTGGCTACTGTTTAAGTTAGTGGTGGTATAATCGCGACAAGATTTATGATTCCAAAAGAATAGTACCTTTTTCAAGTAGGCTTCATTTTTTGTCATTTTTTCTTTCACAAAAACAATCCTTTCTCATTATACCCCATGAGAGGCATTGCAATTGTATACAATCGGACTGTTGTACAATATATACTTACTCATATGTGCATATTAATTTGTTTCTCATAATAGAAATTTCTTTTACATTTTACACAATTCTTACACTAGTATTATAGCATTAAGTGAATAATAAATAAAACTACAATCATTCTCCTTTTAATGTGAATATATCTGGCAAGTAAATGAAGGGGTGCCAAGTCTTTTAAACAGAGGCATTTTAATATTTTGGGATATAAATAATTAGTTGAACTTCCAAGTTGATAAAAAATTGAACTTCCAAGTTGTGAAGCTATTTTTTACCACAATTCATAAATTCATTATAAGTACTACATCATTAATAAGTTCATTTTATGTTAAAGTTGAAATGTCTTATTTATTATGTTTCCGTAATTAAGTTCATCAAGAACTATAGGTGAAAAAAAGTTATCAGTTTACAAATAAGCTTCTTTTCTAAATGTGAAATACATATTTCTACTTCTTGATTTTATCTTGTGGTTTACTCACTTTTCTTTCAAGCTGGAACATATTTTGTTTTCTAACTTTTTATGAAAATTGATACCACCAATTCTTCCATCCACTACTGCCACTTTTGTACAACTATCCTAGAAACAAACGGTATGACCTTTTAATTATAGCTTCAAAATGGCTCATCATTAGTACCATTAGCAAACCATTGTATCTTTCAGTGATAAAGGAAGTCTGCAATTAAATACAGTAGTATGTTCTGCAATGAGGTGAAAACTGAGATAAATTTACTTAACTGTACTTTCTGATTAGGGGTCAAGACAAACCAATTTTAATGTTAAAATAAGATAAACATCCATTATGCAATATCTATAGTTTAAAACATAAAAAATCATTTTTAAGAATTCCAAATATTCTTGCCCAATCTGGTGTCAAGATTAAGGTTATTTGCATGCTAGTTCAGGAAAAAGCTAAGTAGTATTTGATAATGAGCAATACTGAAATTTGTTCAGGTATAATTTTTATTTACAATTTCCACACATATCCACTGATACATGACAAAGTATTTTGCTTCCACCAACACCCACAGGTCAATGCTTCACTTTATCCACATTATTTTAGAGCAGGAGTGAATACACTTTACAGGAAATTGGTCTTATGGCAGCTAAACTACTATTCTTGTATCTCCTTATAAAAAACAAGTATTTGTGATTATGAAAAAGCTGGTCTGCCATTTAGTCAACTTTTTAGAATTTCAATAATTTACAATTTATTTTTTTAAGATAAACACAAAAGATGAAGGCCACATTAAAAGCAACTTTTCCAAAACCACAAACTATATATTTCAAACATACTCTAAAACTGATCTGGATGAATGTACCAGAAAGATCAACAATATACGAGACAGTCTTAGTTTCTTGTTGCTATCACAGCTGTCAATGTATCATTTTTTTTCATTAAAAAACTTAAAATTATAAAACACCTAACCACATCTGACTTCAGGTGGAAACATTATATACAATCATATGTACAATATAAATTTCAAAATAAATACAATACATACAAATCAAAATTATCAGGATTGCAGATTATTGCATTTTTTTAAAAATCTCTTTTACTCACAGTACAAAATTTGTTATTAAACAAGTTAACAGATTTGTCCTTCCTGACTTGTCAACATATTATGCCAATATATATTTAAGTAATATAAACATAGCATTTCTTTAAAAAATATATTGCATCTCTACCAGAAAAAAGTTTTTATGAATCTACCAGAAAAGAAAAGCCCATAAGAACATAATACTGCTAAGCAGATTTTGCTTTTCCATCGATATAACGGTTTTACATTGTTATACAATTGCAAACAATAAGAAAAAGAATTTATACAGCAGCTTTGTAGAACAAAAGAATATCTACCATGAAAATAACATTTACATTTATGTAAATGACATATACAAGCAACAAAGGCAATGGAACAGAATGGTAACAAAATAAAATATAACTCACATTGAATATAACAAAAACAACTAAAATAAAAATAAAATTTAAATTCAACAAAAAATACAACAGCTAAGAAAGGGAAGAAATGCATCAAGGGGAACACTCAAACACATTCAAATGCACTGACCTTAACACCAAAAAATGTATCAAGTTACTTCTTAGTAGGCCTGGTAATTTGCCACCACCTACATAACCCACAGTAATAAAATAAAAAGCCCTTTAGGTACACTTGTAAAGGTCAACACACTGCATCTTCTAAGCAGCCAGGCTCTGGCACTGTGCCACGTGCAGTGCATGGCACAGACTCCACTCTGTTGTTCTTGGATCTCGAAATAGCTCTCCTCTCGCTCACCATACTACACTTCAGCTAGCACTGCTAGAGGAGCACACCACTATAACTTTAGTGAACAAAGGAGGTGATGCACATTCCCAAACACCCACCTGTTCATGAGTGGAAAATTTCAACAATGGAAACGATCTTTAGCAACAGATGAGTTAAGTTGATATCCTCAGCATTTGACAATTTGTTATTTCAAGAAGTCCATAATAATTATTAAAAATACTGTGATTTGAGAAGGCAGAAAATAACTTTTTTTCAGAGTAACATATGATTAATACTGAATTGTTCAACTCATTATTAAAAATTAGCCAATTTCATCATATTCTGAAAATTATTCTTCCAAAACAGAAGAGAAATGAAGTAGTGAATAATGTTTCTCAACAAATTCCTAGTCGATTCAAAATACAATCAATTCTAATAAAATGAAATCGCTGAAATGTAATTAAATATTTTAAGCAAAAGGATATCAAAATTAATCCAAAATGAAAGAAGATGAATGCATGTAACAATTAAATATATGATGGAAACACAAAAACATGTAAATTTTTAAAAGAACAGATCCTTCTAGTTTTGCTTTGCCACAGGGATGAAGTGAATTCTGTTTGTACCACAGCACAAAATGAACTTGCTGTCAATTCTTCTTCCCTCAAAAGTGGAACACATGTATTCTTGCACCCACACAGGCACTCCTACACATATCAGTGCTATAGCAGAGGTCATCCCTGTTGCACTCCAGGTCCGTGTAATTCAATAAAGCTTTCCAGAGACTGGGGTACTTGACCCTGATAGGTTAAGTTGTAAGTCTTCACAGCTTTAGCAGCCATACACTTTAAACTGAGTTTGGTTTGAGTTCTTAGTATTATCTCTGCTACACCTGCAAAATAATATCCTTTCATGAAATTCATCACCATATTTATAGAATAAAAGAAAGGAAAAGAATAAATAGGAACCTGTTGTTGCAGCCTGAAATGGTGTTTCACCCTGCATATTCACGGTGTCCATGTGGGCCCCTGCCTCTGTTAATTCCATGATTATGGAATGCAAAGTCAAGAAGTCACTGTAATATTGAAATTAATTAACAATGTTAGTACAATATTTTTAAAGAACTATAAAAGCGCAAGAAAATAATAGAATAATAAATTGTACCTGATTGGTTTCTGATAACTAACAATGATATGCAATGGAGTATTTCTATTTTGATCCATAGCATTTACATCAGCACCACATTGAATCAAAAGCTTTGATGTAGTAGCACATGGAAATCTAAAAACATATTTAAAAGCACGTAAACTTGAATCATTCATAATGTTTCTTTAATTTTAACTAATTACTTTCCCTTACTTGCACACATCATTTGTATGAAAATCATCAACTGGAGTTTCTGCATTTACACATAAATGCAGTAAAGTTTGACCATCTCGCATTTTCAATTGTAGCTGGTTTAATCGGAAGACTAATTGATGAACACGAAATTCTTCTTTCTTTGTACAAAATTTCATCAATTTTGTTATAATAACTAGTATATACAGCACAGTTGTAATATTACTCTCCATCTCTTCCTGCAAATTAACATCAACAAGAAACAACACATCAATAGGCATAAAATGTTAATTAATTTCTCAAAAACGTGACATCAGTTGCACTTAACCATACCATTATTTGTTCAACATCATCTTTTGAACTGGGATTGGCAATTTTCTCCTTATTCCTTTCTAATTCCAGAACACACGCAGCTAAAACATCTTCAACATGTGAAAATGTCAAATCTACTCCCACATGTATCATCTGAGAAAACACCTGAAGAAAAAAATATTAAAACATACATCTGTAATTACAGTGCCAAATAAATCACAAGGCCACATTACATAGTTCTAACCTGTGCAAATCGAAGAAGATCCTTTGCCACAGTTACTTTATTTTGTTGCCGTAATCGCAGAGCATGGAGCCAAAGCTCTATACACCTATCAAACCTAGCATTGTCTGCAAAGACTGCTCCACGAAATATCACAGGATGAGGAACTTCAGGATTGTGGGTTCCAAGAATACGCTCTCTGATCGACAAAGATTCCATATGGAGAGCATTTTGATTGCGCTGAATGCCTTCAAGTTCTTCTAATGTTTGACATTCTACCCAGTTCTCGTACGCAGCAACAGGTCTTGCAAGTTCTTTGAGAATAAGATCCTCTGGATCACTGTACCTAAAATTTTATGATAAAATATTACTTCTATTAAAAAAAAATTTAAAAAATATTGGCAAGTGAATTTTCATTACCTCATTTCCATGGTACGGTGCAAATATTGATAGGCAAGATCTAGGCAATAATTGTCCTTGTCATTGGCAAATGATGCTCCTAGTAGTTCAAGAGCTTCTATCTTTTCCTTACGGGAGACTTCTGGACGGGTCACTAAATACTCCACTACATCTGCTCGTGTTCTCTCCGCGGCAGCGATTAATGGACTCATACCTAACAGAAAATAATAATTTAAAACATTGGATTTAAAGAAATGTTGTATTAAGACAAACACTGAATATAGTACCGTTTTCATTTTTTGTTATAGTGGCCCCGTATTCTAAGAGTTCTTTCACAATAGCCACATGTCCACATTCAGCAGCAAAATGTAATGCTGTTGCACCACAGTGTGCCTTTTCATCAGGGTTTGCACCTTTCTCCAACAGAAAACTAACCACATCTAAGTGACCTTTGTAAGCAGCAATCATCAAGCAAGTATTATTGTATTTGTTTGCAATATGAATATCTGCTCCATGTTCAGTCAGGTACATAACAATATCAAGACGTCCATCAAAACAGGCAGCACGCAACGGAGTGGAATTTGTTTTAGTTGGATGGTTGACATTAGCACCAGCCTTCACTAAAGTTTTCACTACATCTAAATGTCCAGCACCTACAAGTTATCGCAAAAAAATATGAGAGAAAGTACACTCTTTTCAATATGATATAGTCATATAGAAATTTTCCAATCTTATCACTGAGTTCTAATCAACAATTATGTTAATTTGTAATACATACCTGCTGCACACCACAAGGCACTCGCACCTTCGATAACATATCCATCGAATTTCACTGTCCCTTCCTGTTCAATATCAGGTTTAAATTTTGATATTAACATAACGACAACTTTCTCATGGCCATGTCTAGCTGCTACAATGAGAGGGGTGCACTTCTGCCCATCATCTTCCATCACTTGCTGCAAGTAACCACATTAACAACCTTACTTTTCAATAATCAAAATATGAGCAATATCACATTATTAACAGAAGACGTGAAAGACCACTATAAGTAAATTATGTTGTTCATTTCCAGCGTTAGTAAGAAATCCACTGCCAGATTCAGGGTCCATCCACACACCACCACTTCACAAAATAATTACCGAAAACTTTAACTGCATTATGTAGCACCACACTTTGAGATATTCATAAAGCCACCATAAGAAAATTTTCACTACTTTTAGCAGCCACATATGAGCACTTCCAGAACAAATGGTTCATCTAGCAATACTGCATCAAATTTCTCCTGCAGCATCCCAGCCCTACCACCCAAGCCACACCTGCACAGGTGAAAGTTGTCTCAGGCGGGAGTGAACCAGTCACCAATTTCACTTTTGCTTGTGTGAAAGTAAAATGATCTTGTAGTCTCTGCTTACTTCTAACTAGTCATCCAAGCGCAACACACGAGTATAACAGAGCTTGTCCTTCATTAATTTTTCCCATAACCTAACTTATGAACACAAGATCTTCAGAAAAAATTTTTCTATACCTTCGCGTCAAGCTTGTCGAAATATTATACTTTACCGCAATACTAGGGCCCACTTCTTATGTCACCCATGGAAAATCTGGTCCGAAGTTAACTTTATTTGAATGAATCACACTTCAAAAATGGAGAGGTAGTGACAGGAAATTACTTACTTGATTAAGAACCTCCAGAGCGTCTCTGTTTGATTTCTCCGAAAGAAGTGCATAGAGAGTGAGAGGCATCCCATCACGAGCAGCATAATACACTCTGTTTTTTAATGATTGACTTAACTCAAAAACTGTGTTGGCGGGGTAATTTACATCAATTTCCTCTACTTCTGTCATTTTCAATACACCAAAAGTGATCAAGTTCTCGCAACAAATAAAAATATCACCATAGTTCGTATACGAATGTCACACGCTGAAATCGATGTGCTAAATCAATCAATTAATTAATTTCGAACAGTAATTGAAACAAAAAAAAGTTACTTTCTTGCCGCAAACACGCGCACACTCCGAGCACTTCGCTGCACTACACGACGAGCCGCTGCCGCCAGAGAGAACACAACTAATTTCCAGACTCTCGCCGCTCTTTGTGCTAAATCACGAGTTGTCACCAATTTATAAACGCAAACCTTCAGCCTCCACTGAGCCTCACACTGCCTGCCAACTGGCAGTAAGTTCCACTTGGTTTGGTCCCACTCTTCGTGATCGTGGGCACCCTTGCTCAGAACGTGCATACAAACCATACAACCCATACAAACGCGTTTGCGTGACGCTGCGCCTTGTTCGTTGTTGACAACACAACGTTCCGGAAACGCCAGGAAGCAGTCACGAAGTATTTTTGGGCCTCGTTCACACATGCCTTTTGGATGACAAGTTTCGGTTGATTTCAACAAGTCGGATATGAAATTTTGCGTAAAATAATTTATGTGATTCCATTTCCCACATAACCTCGCCCAAACCTTACATTTGCGTGGATTTGCTTAATTTTGCACTGCCAACTGTACACGGAAAGTTGTGTCAGTGAAATTTACGATGAAATAACCCAACAATGTAGGGGAAACGGTACAACAATTAATGAAAAATTTGGTAATAAACTGATTTGTACGTGTACGACATACAAATTGCACGGCCCTTTTCCAAATCTTGTTAACAGAACTATAGGAATGAAAGTTAAAATACCTTTTTTAATTGATAATGGTTTTAAGTTGATTATTTTATTTATTTCTGAACTGAATGCTCCATAATATTTTATCAAGCACTCAGAAGGCTTAGTTACTGCAGTAAGCATTAAGTACTGCAGTACCCCACTTTAAGAAACATTCCCATGTCTCTTTTTTGGTACCTATTAAAAAAAATGCCATTGGTAAGATTTATTATTATACACATTGCTTTCTCAATCACATAATACACGTTGTTTCTCTCTCTATTTACTTCATATTTATTGAGCTTTAAGAGCCCTTCAACAACCCATATCATTTAGGCTCACAAATTATGATCTAATGAGTAAAGCAATTATAAAAATAGTGAATACAGCAATGATGATGGAGCACTGTGGAATGAAAGACAGAGGAAATGAGAGAACTTAAGAAAAGTTGCTGAGAGCCTATATTATCAATCACAAATTTACGTTGTTTGGCTTGGGACCCAGCAGAGAAAAGTGTGCAATAGCCGTTATGCCACAAGCCCTCTACACACATTCAGTTAACTGTACCATTTAAGTGTTCAAAACTTAAAGGATTGAATAAACATTTTCTGCTCTGAGGTAGTAACGAAATCATAGAAAACAATTCACAGCTTTGAAAACAAACTGTCTCTTCATATTCATTCATATTTATTCTTGAGTTTATTGGGACTCCTTCCCCTTTCTTAACCTAATGCCATAAAATGGATACATTATGTATTAATACAATTCAAAATCACATTTTTAGTAAATGAGAGCTCCCCCTCCCATTTTCTTTGACCGTCCCCCTCTTTCTAATATAAAAGTACATGCATATAAAATGAATCAATATTTAAAATAATATTTGCAATTAACAGTACTAAATGAGATTCAGCCCAACTTCCAAACTTCAGTTTACTGTACTTGTTAATAATGTCATTAAAATCAATTTTCCTTAAAATATCAGATTTTATACAAAGGTCACTCAACCAACATATGTAGTTATTCCTGCCACATAATAGGCCTTGATTCATTTGAAATCCAAAAAAGGACTTTCACAAAAAATATCAATGTGATTTTTGTGTGTATCTGTAGTGCACCTACAGTGGCTAATAAGAAGTAAGTGTTTGGGGCGTGGTCATGATTTTTTTCATGTTTTATCAATTATCAAAAATTATCTAATGATATTCTTTGACATGCAGGATATTTCATAATATTCTGAGTATAATGTATAGTCTGGACATTAAAATATACCTAAAATATACTCATAATATCAGAGATGATCTATATCTAACGATATTTATTATTATTATTTATTTTAAAATAATTCTGTATATATAACTTAGAATAATAGATGTCATTCCCAATCAACTTCCTTATTTTAACAATTATCTTGCTTTGTACCTTTAACAATTATCTTACTTTGTACATTTGTTATTTTATGTATTCTTTCTTGAAAATGTACATTCCCATTTTTTCTATTTTGCTTAAGTTCTATATTTTATTAAATTCATAAATAATATTCTGTAATAGACAACATTTTAATTGTAATTAAAAAACTTGATATTTTTGTAGGGCTGAAGATGGTCGCAATGCAACCGAAACAGCTTGGGGAATAATTTAATAATGCATTAAAAATGAATGATAATCTGCCATTATTTGTTAATTATCTGCCATTATTTGTTCATTTTGGAGACGAACTACTATTCAGTTGTTTTGTTTTGGGAGTTGCAATTGATGCAAGGATATCCATACATCATTAGGTTATAGTGAAGATAAAAGAGTTTTTCGAGTTCAAAAATTAATTTTTAAATTAGGGTTAAGAATAGTGAGTGAATATAAACACGAGTTATATATGAAGTAGTATGTTTTTAAGTAAAAGTAGATAGCAGGATATCCCACATTCATGCACTACAACATACAAGTACATATCTTGGTAAATATAAATCATTTTGATTACATTTTCATGAACAAGTTCATTCTTCATGCGGTGAATAGTGATTGTATTGTTCCAGACTGTTTAAATCTCTTTGAATTTATCAGTTTTGGAGAATAAGAACTGAAACAAATTTCAAAATTTTCCATTTTCTATATGCTGCACAAGTACCATCCTGTTGAAACTTTTCTACAGCTCTTCCTTTTGTGTGATATAATTGCAAGGGTTCAACTAGATATTATTACCCTTTTACATATTATTTTGAAAACTTGTTTCAATATAGATAATAATACTGAGGTGCTGGGCCATAATATGTATAGTGAATTTGTAAATCTTATACTCGCTACCAATCTGCCCAATAGAAATATTTCATCTTGAAACTGATTCACTAGTTTTTTTCATATTTAATTTGTATTAAGGTAGACTTCCCTCACATGACTCCTCTCTCTCAAATGATGACAGTTTCTAAATATTATCGGCATAAAATTAATTGTACCTGTCAGATTGTTTTGTTACAATGATCATATCACAAAATAATTACTAGATTCATAACTACTGATCTCTCATGCCAAGTATTTTGTGAAAGGAAAGGAAATTTGATTGAGACATCTCCTGTATTATTTTTTGAATATCTAATCCAATTAAAGAAAATTTTAGCTGTTCATTGTAATTACTGTTGGGTGCCCCAAGATTTTGGGGTTCTTGTTTTGATACAGTACAAGTAGAAATTTAACTGGAGAATGAGAAAACAAGTTCAACAGTTAAACACCAAACCCAAACACATCGAAAGTTAAGAATTTTTAATGTCAAGAAAAATATCTGACTTTCCCCCCTCCCCCCCCCCTTTTAGCAGACATCTATCAAATGGAACTTCAGCTATTTTGAAAGGAAATTATGGAAAGGACAGATTGTCGTGAATTAAGAAGCAACATCTCATACATTTATGAAACAAAGTGTGAAAAAACTGGGATGAATTGTAATTTGATTAGCTCTTCCATTATATACACATTCATAGGGCAGGGTGGAGGACGGTGAAGATTGGTAAAGATTCACATGTGACCTTCATTTATTGGGAGACATGACATTGGGCAGATGTAGCCCAAAGTATGTTAATGATGGCAATGTACAGTACGAAGATGCCAAAGATGTATGCCTGAATGTTAATTGTGGAAGTCAATGACCAGAAAGGAGCCCATTGACAGGCGATTATAGCGCGCTAAACCATAATGTGACATTCAAAGAAAGGTGCAGGAGTGAGATATTGTAACAGAAAGATAGATAAAAATTAATGATATTTTATCCCTGTTGTATCTGTGACACTATATACAATATTTTAACTGCAAATAGAGCAATCATATTTAAGTCAGAAACTAATGTAAGCTTTTGGTAATTTGTTCAAGTAACTAGATAGCTTGGAACAAAAAATTCAATTTTGAATATGTATTACAATCATTTTATTAATCATTAAAATATAAATATTTACATAATACATGCATTTATAAAACACCGATAGTATTTACAATAGGGAACTTGTAATGTCAAATGTCAGTCTGCTTCTTGGATGCATCCTTCTACTAATTCTCGAAGATTAGGGTTTTCCATCGCTGCAGCAATCCTTTCCTTGTCATTGATTTGCTTGTTAACTGCAATAAAAGAATTCAGTGTTATTACGTATAATAAAAAAAAAAAGGGGGGAAATATACTTGATCACTGACAATGACAATAATAAAATACACATAAAGGCAACCAGAGAAATGTCAGTTGACGGGTGGTCCCCATAGATTGACGACAATCAAATCATACAAATGTGGATCATAAACAATCGATAAAATACAAAATAAAGTGTTTCATGGTTGGATGTGGCCACATAAAATAATATTTTAAAACTCACTGGTGTGAAATATTTGTATAGTATTAACATAAATAATAATTGTTGGTACACTTGGAAGCAAACTTTTTCACTGGTTCTAAACTCTACTGCAATTAACAATAAAATATTTTTTTTATTCACAATCAATATGATAACCTTACATATATTTTCACTCCATAAGTATCATGTCCAAAACAAAAAACTTATTATAAAAATATCTATCAATCTTAAAACACCTCTTCGAAAACAATTATTGAGTTAGACAAAACTGCATTCAATAACCAATATCTTGTTACCCATTTTATTTCAAAACTAGTTACTTACTCTCATCTTCAGTTGAGTGGGCTCCTTTCTTTATATATATATCCAGTTTAAATTTTTCTGCCAAGCATCTCTCCAATTTTATTCTTATACAAAGGCCAATCAAAGTTGCCAATGAGCAATGTGGAACAGTTGGGTTGAACTCAACTCTTATTGCCACCCAGTTGTTCTGATCTGGTTGATGAACCTTTGAAAAAGAAAACATTCGATAATATGATATTTCCGATATAAACACAATAAATACCCCCCCTGCAAAAAAATGACATTAAATGTTTAAAAGGCTGAGCAATTGCAGCAAAAGAGAATGAAATAAGAGGTCACAAAACCCATCTTTACAACAATCAGCAAATCGGACTCCCACTACATTTCAATATGTGATTTGGAAATTTGAATACTAACACCATTACTACATACAGCAAGAAAATTGTTTGACAACTGTAACCTTTCTTTACCAATGCATCGTTAGATTTTAACTGACAATTTGAATAAGCAAAATTTTTAAATGCAATATGTCACTTACAAAAACACCTTCTTCGTACACTACATGCAGATCTTCTAAAGATGCAGGTTTCTCTGGATCTTTAATAGTGCGAATGATATCTGAAAATATATAATTATTTTATATGTGGTTACTGAGGTTTTTAATAGAGTCAGTAACAATGGCGTCTTTAATCTACTCTGAGAAGATAAAGATTAATAACCCCACCATAAATATATTCCTTCAATTCTTCACAATTTTTATCATTTCCATTATATGCATCCAATGTTGAAGCTTCAACTGAATGCTCAATGACTTGTTCTTCACCTTTCCCGACACCAAGAAGTGACTTTGACTTCTGTAATAGCGATTGCAACATGGTTTTCTAATTTTTATCGCCTGCTGTCTTTGGTAAACTTCGATTCTCTGAGTTCCTCGCTGCTGACACAATTAATAATCCCATTTAAAATGAGCTTCTGAATGTTGCCTACAAAAGAGAAAGTAGAAATGACGTGGAAATTACAAAGTATACGAGTGCGAAGTGCAATCAGCAAATTGAAATTTGTTCGTTGCTACTGTCTTTAACATATCACCATCAAATTTCTCCATTGATTTAGAACCGTTCAATGTTCCCAAAAATTGTCATTTTGCACTCCAATATTTAGTTACATTTTAATTAAAGTTTAAAAGGAGCAGCCAACGTTCTCCATGGGCAAGTCTCTGCCTGCCCCCTGTTCTACTCTCTGGTTCTGCGTGTTCTGCCTAGAGGACGTTCCCATTCTACCGATTCGATTCCAGAATCGATGCTTTCGATTCCTGTGGATTCGAAGTAGGGATTCGGGTGTTTGTGTCACCTCGAACGGTAGAGCACTATCGATCTTCTGCTCGTGAATAAGTTTTGCACCATTTTAGCACAGCTGCGCATGCGCAAGAGATCGATAGTACGTGCTGACGCTATGGCGTGCACAAACTTCCTAGTAGAGTGCGCTACCGACAATCCGTCGATTTCCGCACTTTCGATTAATTGCTTACGTGAGGAAAAATGGCCTGAAAACAATGTTTTGATTTGCAAGGTTTACAGGTTGTGTCCGTTTTGTGATTGTTAGTACCGCTGTATTGAATAAATGCTATCAAGAAAATGTGCAGTCGGTGTTAAAGTGTCCACGACAAATATCAGTTACAAAATAAGTCTTGTTTAAGTTGTTTAGCAAACTCACAAAATCAGTGAACGTGAAAAGTGAGGTTAATAATTCGTCTTCCGTGAGAATTAAGGGTAATATTGAAGGAATATATAGCTGCTGACGCAGAATGGAAGTTGTCAGGTATTTTTTGTATCCATAGCTTGGGCACGCTTGCTCCTCATTGAATGTTTCAATAAATAACTGTCTATTATGTTAGGAAAAATAGGCACGAATCTGCATCAAGAAAGCGGAGGGATGATTCCAGAGAACGATCACGAAACGTGGAAAAGAACAGCAAGCACAGTAAAAGTGCATCACCCTATCGTTCTAAGTCAAAACATAAAAGCAAAAAGAAAAGTTCAAAACATAAGCGTAAGAAGAGGTATCTATTCTGCTTGCTTGTATTCATGTCTTATATTAAGTTGTCTTTGAAAGTGAAATCACATTGTCATATTTTGTAGATCATCATCATCATCATCATCATCATCATCTAGTTCAGAAGATTCGGACGATTCCAGTTCCTCTTCAAATTCTGTAAAACTTCTGCAGAAATTGAGAGACGAGAGAATCAGGCATGCAGAAGAAAGACGCCGCCAAAAAGAACTAATGAAAGCTACAGAAACACCTGAAGAAAAACGTTTGCGTCGTTTGTTAAAAAAAGAAGCAAAGGAACGGAAAAGAAAGGAGAGAATGGGCTGGGATAATGACTATTTGCATTACACAAATACTGACAATCCATTTGGTGATGCAAACTTACTGTCAACTTTTGTTTGGTCCAAGAAATTAGATAAGGAAGGATTAACAGGTGTGAGCCGTGAAGAATTGGAAGTAAGAAATCGCCAGAAACAAGAAGAAAATCGCAGAGAATTAGAGAAAGTATGTACTGGAATAATAGGTTTTGTTATCTATGAGAATTGGAAAACATTTTTTAATTTAATGTTAATTAATTTTCAAAAATGAAGTCCCAGTTTTGTTTTCCTGACCTTATCCTTCTGAAGTTCAACAGACAGACATGAGAAATAATTTGTCAATTAAAATTACACTCTTAGATCATATATTATTTCATAAATTTAGTCAATTGGAGTACCTCTCTCTACCACCATTGGTGGCTCAGATCATCAATTAATGACTGTGCAGTGCTTTTGACCGGGAGGTTCTAGGTAAGATTTTTAACACTAGCTAGATAGCTAGGTCGAATTCAACTACTGTCTGGGTTCTAGCATCCACCTGCTCTGATCTGTATTTTTCTATGTGTACTCTGATCAACACCAGGTGAATGCTGGAGCAGTATTCTAATAAACAGGTTACGGGTCACTTATGATTTTTGCTTCCTCCTCTTCCTATCCACCCCCTTTACCTACACTCTTTCACTTCCATGCACTACACTACCACACATCAGGAGCTTAGAGCATGTCTCAGTGAGGGTGGTGCCCTGCTGGTGGGAGATGTCTGGTTGATGAAAATGCCACCAGCCGACGTGTAGCTTGGCTCTGGATCTTGCCATCCAGTGGGGGAAGATCATCTCTCGTGATAAAAATGTGCACTATAGTTTTGAGACCTTAGCAGTTATTGTGCCTGGAATCACTAATCAATTTAGTATCACCCTTGGTAATACAATCATACAATCAATGAGGGCTGCACAAGACAAATGTGTTTTTTTTTTTGAGTAGTGGGATCCTGCATTTTCCCAAAGGCTGAAATAAAGAGCATTGCTTGTTATTGAATGACTTTGATAAATGTTAGTTGTAATAGTTTTATGATCAATAAGTTGTTTGATAGAAATTCACATATTTTCAAGTATTTGAATTGGTTATATAGGTTTATTATAGTAAATGGAATTGGTAAATGCTCAGTTAATTTATGAACAAAAGATTTTCATCATTAAGCAATAGCCTTGTAGTGCTGTTAATGCAATACAGTGAGTTGTACATTTAGACAACAGTCCTTACTGTTGTCTAAATGTCGAAACATGCTTAACTCAGTATTCTCTGGTATTCTTTTGCATGAAGATCACATTTGTGGAAGAAAACTATATCTGACATATGATCTTAGGTAAAAAAACGCCGTCAAGAGCGAGAGCTGGAACGCCAACAACGTGAAGAAGAGATGGCATTGTTGCAGCGTAGCAAAGAAGCAGCACAGTTTCAGGAATGGGAGCGACAGGAAGATCAATTCCATTTGGAACAAGCGCGCTTGCGCTCGTGCATTCGCATTCAAGATGGAAGAGGTAGGAACCAATTTGATGTTTGTTACTCGTACTTATGAAGAATTTCTGATTATGATTAGTGTTGGTTTTTTTTCTTCAGCCAAACCTATTGATCTTTTGGCTAAATACATTAGTGCAGAAGAAGAAGTTGATGCAGTTGAAATGCACGAACCATACACGTATCTTAATGGGTTAACAATTAAAGACCTAGAAGATCTTATTGAAGACATCAAGGTATTCATCCTCATCTGTTTAAAATTTGTTTCTTAAAGAAACAAGTTTTTATCTGATGCAGTTAAAATTTTCTTCCTATTGTAATATCTTTATGTTGCAATTTATTTTTTATCTCAGGTGTATAAAGAGCTGGAACGAGGAAAAAATCTTGATTATTGGAATGATATCACTGTTATAGTGGAAGATGAATTGCATAAGTTGCGTAAGTTGGAGAAGCAGAGTGCGTATGAAGCTGGTAAGTTGTAAACTATAAAAATAATTCATTTTTCTCAAGTTTATTTTTTTAGGGAGCTCATTTATATCATGGCATGGGCGATACCACTTTTGACCTTTGTATTCTATTACTTTACAATGTTTAATTTAAGCAGTCAAGGACATTCAAACACTATGTTCACAAATTATACATATTTTATTTTATTGTATTTTTATTTTATTTGTAAATTAAATTACTAAAGTTGGATGATTAATAAATACTTTTTAAGACTACAGAAATGCTTTTGCACCTTTCAATACATTCTTTGTTTATCTTAATTAGATAGAAGTGCTTCAGTGTTTTTATTTGAAGACAATTACTTCATTACTGATACTATCTTGTGGGACGCATTTCCAGCTGTGGGACGCAGAGATGGTATTCATCAGGCTGTAGCAAAAGATGTAGCTGCAGTATTTCGGGGTAAAACTGCTGCACAGTTGTCTGCAATGCAGCAAAATATTGAAGCTAAGATCAGTGGGAAGCCAGAAGGTGTTGATATTGGCTATTGGGAATCATTACTTTCTCAGTTGAAAGGTAAATGTTTCATAATTTATCTGAAATTAGTACTACACTGTATAATTGTCTGAACAGCATCTTATAAGTTTCATCTCCTGTCTTGATTATTGTCTTTTGCAATTGAGCTTTTTACATAAAGACCGTAGACGAATGTTCTCAGAAAATTAGCCTTAGTCCGGGAGTTATAGAGCCTTTAAATATTACTAGTTTTACAAAAATAACCAATATACAGCCCCCCCCCCTTTTTTTGGGGGCAAAAACAGCCATTGTCCATCAACAGGACAGCACTACAGTTGTTTTTGATATAATGTTTGGCTGTACTGTTCATTTAGACTTTTGCATTGAAGAAGGTTAAAAAAGTGAATAAAGAAGAAAACATTGCTTTATTTTAAGTGAAAAGCATAAAACACTTGAACCATAAGAATCAACTTATTGCGGCAAGAACCACTGGGCCTGACTGACAATATGTTTAATCTTACTTCTGTATAGAACGCCAAAGTTTTGCAAGTTATAAGATTTGGATATTGCTCGTAACACTAATTTTTACTTCTAGAATTACATCAGATGAGAAAAAGAAATTAAAGTGTGTAGCGAGGCTTTTTGTAGTCTTCACGGTGTTACAAGGAGTAGAATCCAAAATATTCAGCAATCCTTTACACTCCATTAGACTCCAGGGAAAAATGTGGAATAAAATGCCACAATCTATAAAAAGATTGATAGATCACATCCCACTATAAACATGAATCCAAACCAGAAATACTTACTAGAAGCTCACGATCTGTAAGAAAAAGGTATAGATTATTGTTTCTTTTACAAAAGTACTATTTAAGTGTCAGTTATCGGCCATATTACAACATATAATGGGAGTTGAATAAATACGTTGGTCTTCCCCATAGTGATACATGCAGTTTTTGCAACAAATTAGCACAAGATCCTCTCCTGGAATGAAAGGTCATATGATATAAGAGAAAGAATTATGTCAATTAAAGACAGATAAATTTCATGAATTGAAGTGAATAACAAGTGAAAGGTATTGACTGGAGAGTTACTTGTGTTCCTCTGATTACATGCCAAATCTTTCCTCATATCCTCACATTCAAACTGGTGATGTCTCATAAAAAGACATCTGTGATATCATGTATTTGGGATAGGATGTTTTGCAATTAAATTACTGGAAAGAAGAGTTAGAATGGTGTTACCATTGTGAATACCATTGAAGATGAGGAAATATCTGATAATGAACATAGTGGAGCCAATCTGTGAAGCCTTTTAGTATTATCCAATTCTGAAATTTTTTATTAAAAGGTTATGAGAATAAAATATTTTGCATGGGGAGTTTTAATTAGTTTAAAAATTATTACCACCTGGTGCTTAAACTTAATGAGAAATACGAACCATTTTCGACAAAATGTACTGAAGTCCACTCTCATTCTTACCTTCAATTTATGTTGTCTCTAGGTAAGTAATAGGAGGGCTGTCATGCAATAATTACCCATAAAATTGAATTTATTGTTGTCTCAAATTCCATGCCATTTTTTAATAATACTAATGAAGGGGGAGAGGTCTTTACTTCTCCTGAAAGTTTGGATTTTTTATTATAATGGCTTTGTGTTCCGTTCACTTCATAAATGCCAAATTACCGGGCAGGCTGAGTAAGCTGCAGCCTGAGGCAGACAAATTTCAGCGGATGCATTGTAGGCGAACTTTCTAATGTTTTTTATAGAAATATTTCTTTCCATATTTATAATCAAAGAAAGTGTTCATTAATCGAATAATATATTCTTTGATAAAATTAATACAAAAATATTGTTCACTTATTAAAGAAATGTCATGGTAAAAAATATTTATACAATAATATATATAAAAAATATTTGCATCAGATACAAATATTGTACATCAATTTTTTAAATTCAAAATGATAATAAATAGCTTTAATATTAAAAAATCAGATGGAAAAAAAGGGGTGCTAAAACGTTTGACAGCCTAGGGCAAACATAAATCAAAGTCAGGCTCTGCACTTATGGATTGTAAAATAATTGAAACGTTCACAGTGTTAATTCTAATTGCACTAAAATAAATGGGTGATCTTGAAAGTGTTTTCCCACTCCAGATATTACTTCCAATGAAATTCTAAAATAAAGATGACCTAAAATGTAAATTTATCTTTCTAGCACATATGGCTAGAGCAAGGCTTAGGGACCGTCATCAGGACAGTCTGCGCCGGAAATTGGAGGTGCTGAAGGCTCAACAGGGTGTTGCAGAAGAGCCAACTGGTACCGAACTTTCTCCAGACGACATAAAGCAAGAAATACCTGGGCCAAGTACTGCCCCTGATTCTGAAGAGGAAGAAGAAGATCAAGAACAGTAAGTGTAACAATTATTTGTGAAAATACCAATCTTAGTGCTCACACTTATAAAATGCACCTATTTGAGCAGAAACTTTGTTTTCATTGCCCTTATGGGAAGTCACAAGATTTAAATGTATCACTAGTCTTTCCATTTTTTGCAGAGAGCATGCAACAGCAGCAGATCAAGTAGCCATTGACATGTTGTCAGAAAGCTTTGCTGACTATGAGTCAGGGGGATATAGTCCGCAGTACCTGAGTGCCAATCAGCTTGATCCTGGGACCTTTGTTACCACTGAAGAGGATGATATCCAAAGGCTAGCCTTTGCCAGAGCCCAAGTACAGGGTACTGGCAGTAGGGTTGAGGTAAGAGTTTTATTTCATGTTGTTTCTCTTATGCTATGCTTCTAAAAACGTATGTATTTACCACACTTAGTTGTTAGTTCAACATTACAAACCAACTTTTCAGTTTTTGATATAAAGGCATTTTCATGAGGGAAAGCACTGGTCTAGCTGATATGACACCTTCCTTTCATTACATGGGGAATTGATGATAAACTATGTATATTATGCTGAACACAGATTATCAGCATTATCATTAATGATTACATCCATCTTGATGATGAAGTGAATCCTAGTAATCCTGTAGACTGCATGTGCTACAAAAAAGGCAAAGAGACAAGTAATACAATCGCAATGCAAGTGCAATGAATAAGTTGTGTCCTTACCATACTTAAAAGACAAAATTGTCATCAATCAGTTGCCATTTAAAATTCTCACTCTTTTGCATGTGCATAAAAAGAGGAGGCCTAGGAAGATGTTTTAATGGCTCCCCAGGGCCTCCATATCAGAATTTAAAAGTAAATTGTGTACAACTACTTGTTGAAAATGACTTCATTCAGATGTTTATTAGTTCAGTGTTAAATCATTGGTATGAAATGACACCTGAAATTCTGCTTCTCTAAAAACCGAATTGCACCCCAATAGTCACATAAACTGTTTCGACTTTTGCAGAGTGTGATTACAGCAGAAGAGCAGGCTCTCCAGAGAGAGGCTCGCAAAGGGATGACAGCAGATGAGGCTGAGTTCTCTGTCGAGACAAGTCTTGATAGCCAAGTGTACTTGTGGTCAGATAAGTATAGACCACGGAAGCCCAGATATTTCAATAGGTAATATAAGCAGTAATGAAAATGTACTTTAAAATTGCACACAGGAGCCATAAACTTAAAAATTTTGTAACTATCTTTCAGGGTTCACACTGGATTTGAGTGGAATAAATACAATCAAACCCACTATGATATGGACAACCCACCACCTAAAATTGTGCAAGGATACAAATTCAATATATTTTATCCAGATCTCATTGATAAAAATACTACTCCAGAATATTTCTTAGTGAGTAGCACATTAACTAAATGTATTGTGGTATTTTGGAAATGTAAAGCAAAATTTAACAAGATTTTCTCTTCTTCTTTTTTCAGACTCCTTGCAGTGATAATAGAGATTTTGCAAATTTAAGATTTCATGCTGGGCCACCATATGAAGACATTGCATTTAAAATAGTGAATAGGGAATGGGAGTATTCCTATAAACGAGGATTTCGATGTCAATTTCATAATAATATCTTCCAATTGTGGTTTCACTTCAAACGTTATCGTTACCGAAGATAACAGTCTAGCATTTTATTATTTTGTAATCATTTGCTTAATGATGTGAGATCAGAAATAATTTCATTACTTCTAGTACATTTATTTGGACACATTGTAAGCTGTGTATTTTAATTTGTTATTGTAAATATAATCATGTAAATATTTATTGAAAAAACTGCAAGTTAAGAACAGCTCTTGTAATGAATATGACTGAAGGTGATTTATAATAAAAGATAAGAATCTTTCAGAACCTTGCAATATTAATTCTAGCATACTAACTACTAGCAATTTTATTCACTGGTAATCTTTCTTCCCTTGAGCAATCAACTAAAGTCGAACGATGTTGAAATACCCTATGAACAGTAAGAAGAGATCTTGGTGCTGCAGGACTTTCTGCAACAAGGTCAAGAAATAAAGCGAAAATAACACCATGGCTAAGGAATGGCTGCAATGGGCAAAAGGATTGCAGATCAATGTTAACATCAGTTGGGAAAACATAATAAACATGAAATATCTCCTTAGTAAACAGTAAATAACAGATAACTTCTTACTCGGAGGTGAAGTGGGAATTTTCAAACTTTTTCAGAAATTCAGAACAGAGACGTACAATTTTTTTTTTGTTTAAAAACATAGTTTTGAAAAGTCAATATAATTAATGCTTTCTATCTTGCATGTAATATTTTCAAAAGAGTCCATATTATCTATGTCCAAGGAAAGCAGCCAGAATGTGAGAATGGCTCCTGATGAGGCATTTTCTCCAAAATGTATAACTCAGAGAGTCAAACATCCAACTTGAGTTACAGTATAGAGTTGCATGTCAGTTCATGAATATGACAGATTAGACAATGTTGAGGGCACAATGGAGCAGAATCAGTACAAGAAAAGTGCTTCACACCCACCTGCTGCCTCAGATCAGAGATTAATTTTCTGAAAAGATGGCCTAATGGCATGGTGTTCCATCGTGCATAAAAAGGCAAAGTCTATTAAGAAATTTGTGGAGAAAATAACAGAGTCATTCACTGTCTTGGCCTGGTAATAGCCCAGATTGCAACCCAGTTGAAAATGTATGGGGAATTGTAAAGGCAAAATTGAAGAAAACAATAACAGACAGAATTGTTCTCATTGGAAACATCATAGACATACAGTTACATGATGAACAAATTCAGAAAATTTGCAAGGACCTTGTGGAAAGCATGCCAAAAAGGATACAAATGGTTATAAAGAAAAAGAGCATACACCACAAGTTGTAAAGAGGGCATTGTGTATTGATAAATTGTGATAATTATATTTCAAAAGTAAATTACTATTAGTATTTTCAATTATTCTAATAATTTGCACATGTCTGTACTTAACATATGAAATTTCAAAGAGGGGTCAATTAAAATAAAAAAGTTGATGTGATAAAAAGCTGAAAATGAACTGGTGATCAAGTTCTGCTGTTTCTCTAATCATTGATTGATGGATGGATCCATTATGATTATGAAGAACATTGACACTGAGAATGAGAGACATTATAGAGACGAAACAATTGCATCCAGATTATTGTCCTAGAGATGGAGAATCTCAAATCGCACATAAGCAAATTGAAGGGATTCAACAACACAAACAAGACAGCGAAAAATCCATGCTATCAGAAAATATGAGTAAAAACAAGGAGTGGTGCAAGAATAATCTTCAGGAAGAATAGAAGAGCGAGTTGCCAGTAGTTGCATGTTAGTTCCTGCTGAACAAGAAAGGTTTGGAAAAATTAGAGAAATGAAGTATTGGAAAAAAAAAGTAAGTAGAAAGTTAGAACTGTGCACAATTGTACATTTGTTACCTGAAATTACAAGAGTAAAAGATTTCAAATGTTGCTAATAATACTTAGTTGTTACTTTTACTCTTAATTCAACTCCATATAGTAAGAGTGGAGTAGGGATTCTAGAGCTCCAGTACAGTGCTCAGATTATACTTCTCCCCTGTAGATAATGTACAATTTTTACAGCTATTGACAGTAAATAAATCGAAGGGAAAAGGAAGTTATGGAGAGTGCTCTAGAGGAGGATATTATTCGTTACCGACTGAGAGGCAGACGTATTACTTGCCATGTTCCAGGCTTCCAGAGGGCAAGAAGGAAGCTTGCTACATGACTGGCAAAACTTCAGCCTCCCAGACAGCGACGATATCCTTAGTCTTGTAAGAAATAAAGAACAAAGAAACTGTGTCATACTCTCTCTCTCTCTTAGGATGCTTTTTGTTGTTTTTTTTGCATATTTTTTTTGACAGTGTAGTAAACCTAACAAAACCCATTTTTTGTTGTCGTTTGCAATGTTTGAAACCTAGTGTGTTCACCAGTAATGGGACAAACAACTTCTTTTGTTACATACAATGAAAACATTTGGAACCATTTTTGAGGAAAAAATTCTTGAAAATTATTTATGCTTCATGCCAAAAACACTAATATTCTCAAAAAAATTGAACAAGGCCTTTTTTGTTCTGTGTTTCATCAACAGTTTTCACTAAGGAAAACATTTCTATTTTCAGTTTTTTTAAATTTTAAACTTTGTTAAACTCTTGAAATTTTTGAAAATGCGACCGTCTTCATGCCTTCTCTTCATGCATCTTTTAGTCTAACAGAAGAAAAAATGTAAAGAAAAGTTTGGGTCCATTTTTAAGAACATTTTGATTTGAACAATTTGAAAGTGGGTGGTATAGACCGAATGGATCAGAATGATTACAGATCCAAAATACAAAGAAATGGCTGTATCCCAATTTTCTGTGGAATCTTTTATAGTTGTGGTATTGCTGTATGCTTTGCTTTTTCACAGAAAGTCAGGACAGATTTCAAAAACTATTACCTTAGATCTTTTTGAATTTTGAAGAAAGTATTTGTAAAAATGCTGGCAAGAGATAGTTTAATTAAAGATGTCATTGCCAACAAAGTTGGCAACATTGTTGGCAATGACAACATCTTTAATTATTTTAAAAATGCCAAAGATATCTTAACACAACACCTATAAGAGATAGTTTTCCAGAAATAAAATCTGATTCTCTAAATACATCTAGGGTCTCAGTTGGACAATGATGATCACTGAACAAAATAAAATGCGCAATGTGTAGCAACAAAAATTAGAATTACATTCCATGTTATACTTCAAGGAGAATGTTTTCATGGTCTTCACATCAAGAAGAAAGTAACAGCTATAATAATTTTGTGCAATCCTTTTTCTGCCTTATTGTTTGGAGTTTATTTTTCTTACGCAAGTACTGTAAATTGTTCATTAAATGATATATACAGTATTTATAATTTGATTATCAAATAATAATTTCCTTTCTCATATAGAGACGTACATACAAAGTAATAAACATTGTACAGAGAAAGTTATGTAATACTGTGGAAAATCAATTTTGAGATCTCAACAGAAACACACTTTTTGGGGTCCCCTGATGAAAAATTGTTGAAAGTCTGCGCCATTCTGTAACACTAGTTTTAAGCTGATTGTTTAAATATTCAGATTAATATATGTATTACTCCAATGTGACCTCGAGTACAATGATAACATAAAGGCTTAGTGTTGTTTTAGCAACTTACCCATGTGCCATAATGAATTGAAATGAAAAATGTTTCCTACATTGATATTCTGGATATGCTCAGAAAACACTACAGCAAAAGATATAAAATTATTCATCAAAGTTTTGATCATATGTGGGTTGAAGGGATTTTTAAGTGATCAATAACTGCTGAGGTGAATGGTTGGGAGGTTTTTAAAGAAATTTTGATTTTTCTAATTTTCTAATTGGAAAAGTACTTTTAACACTGTGCACAAAACACAGTTTCTCGTGCTAGTTTTCCATGTGCAAAACAGCTAATTTTTTTACAGTGCAAAACATCTGCAACGATTTCCTTGACAATGACTTTGTTTATTATTTACACACAATAGTTTACAACAATGACTGGAATCCATTTACTTTTGTACAAGTAAGGTTTTTCTAGTCATTTGATATTTAATTAATATTCCTATACTTGACACATTGTATTTCGCTCACAGCATGTAAAAAATAACATGTGCTAATAGTATACCAATTTGTGTGAACCATGTAAATGGAATCAACAGAGGATTAAAATTATTCTTGGTTTTTAAAGTAACAAAACGGTCAATAACTCTGCATACATAACATGTAGGTTTATTATTATACAGGCAACATGTACTTTGTAACACCACAATACAATGACCAGAATAAAACAAAACAACTTGGCAATGTACAGCAAAACCCACCAAAGTGCATTATTAACAATTTTGTAAACAATATCTTTCTTCTATTACTATCATATTTAACTTCTCTCCATTGATTACAGACATTTCATTCATTTTGTACATTACAGTCTTAAAAACAAGTTCCACACTATGCATATACTCTCTATTACAGAAAAAAATATTCCTTATCAAGTACATGTATTAAAACATAGCTACATAAATAATGGAATCACTGCCAGTCACGTCTTTGCTGACGAATAAATTAAAAAGAATGTCTTAAACTATAAACTTTATTGACTACAATATTAATTAAAACATTTTGGGGATTTTGCTACACATATACATAAAAAAAATCAATAGCTAACAATGGAGCATTAAATTTACAAATACGAGCACTAGAGAAAATTAGACTCCCTCAAAAAAGACTGCCTAGGCAAGGATTCTATGGGAAGTTTAAGTTATCTATCACAGTACTCACTAGCCGCTCAAGAAGTCTTGTAAGTGCTTAAAACAAAGACAACAATTACAAACAATATATAATTATATCACTAAGCTAACTTTGCAAAATGAATCATGCACACACAAAGTACATTATAAAGCATTTTTAATTGAAAAGAAATCCAGAATGCTGTAGATAATTTTCCAGTATTTTTCATATTTCAATTGGAGAGAAATAAGAGTTTTCACATGACTAGAAAGTAGAAAAAAAATATTTCTTGAATAGACATTTGCCTTTTTGCAAAAATACTACAAGACCACACAGATAAAAAGGCTGGTAACTAACTATAATAAAATTTCCATATCTATATATTCATAAAATTCCACAAGATAAATTGGTATGTTACAAGACAAAAAGAAACAAAAACCTGCAACAATGGAGTGCTATAAAAAAAGTAATGTAAGAAAATTAACAAGTACTGCCTTCCTCATATCAAACTAGGCGAACTATTACGACACAAAAATTCAATGAACTTGATATTTGTTGAAGAGATCAGCTTAGAACAGATATGAAAAAAGTAACAACAGACATTGACCATTTCAACATCAGTAAAAAGTTACAGTTAAATTTCATTTAACTTCTCACAAAAGCAAAAATTACATAGTAAGGGTACTAATAACTAAAATTAGTGGAATGTACCAGTTTAACTGAAACTCAAATCGTAGTGGTTCAAATACCAGTCACACAATAAAAATAAAGACTAACAAAATTCTTAAATTGAACAAATGTTCAGTGGAGAGTTATTTCTTCCAACTTATCTCCATACAAAGTCAAGTTACATCAATGGAACATAAAGTAAGAAGAATGTTATGAATAAAATGGACTATTCTTGTGCAACATCAAGAGAAAGAAGAAGTTTTTGCACTGAACACTAGGGTTTTGAAGAGGAAAATTTTCATATATCTCCACTGAGCTATGTAAGCAATACTACAAAAAGCAAATTGGACCCTCTTAAGCGAACACAAAAAACTGTAGTTATCAAAAATAATGCTGTGCAAATATATGTAAATTTGCATTTTTTTTAACATCAATTTCTAATTACCAACACACATCGGTGAAATAAGTTTCTAAAAGTTTCATCCACTCTCAGGATACACAAGGAACATATACACATCAATGTAACTAAATAACACACATTCTCCTTAGTACTCTAATTGCAAAAACATCAGACTTACATTTTTGTCTTTTTTAGTGTTTTTTACTATTAAGTATATCATGTGAGAACACAGATTTTAAAATAAAGAAGTTGTGCACGTTCAGTGTACTGAAATTGACAGTTTTCAATTACATCAACATAAGTGCTCATGTTGTGTTGACCTTCATTTGTATAAAATACTGAGCTTAAAGATCTTTCAAGAACTTAACTTGTGTTGCAATATGCAGATATTTTTTCAGATTTTCTGTCTTCTCTCAAGAGAGCAGAATCACATTAGGTCTTTATAATATGTTTTTAATAGTCATTAAAGAGTTATGGGTGAATGGCCTACAGAACTGGAATTATGATACATGAAATACTGAAGAATGAGAACTATCAGCAGCTCAGAGATTAAATTAACAAATTAAATGTCTTGTTCAGACAGCACCAGGTAGCACGTTGTTATTTACAACTAATGTCAGGTAAATTTTTTGTGATGTGCGCAACAAGTGTACACTGTAGACTGTAGTGAAAATAATGTACAGTGAAGTTTCTCCACAAAATGCATTAAGGAAGAATGTGGCTGAAGTGAAAAAAATCACTTTTTTTGAGTATTAACAAATATTCAACAAGAAATTCTACTTTCCCATCAGAATAAAACATTTCAAACATATTTTTCTATGATACAACTCGATAGATTCTTTGAATTAAAATGGATAACTGCAAATAATTGGCAATAGTCAACAAATAAAATTGTATTCAGCAAAAGCAAAGTTAAAATATTGTCTCAACAGTCTGTCTTGTGTTTTCTTCAATGAAATGAAACTACAAGACTGGTTATGTGTACACAGTGGAGCCTCACAGGATACTTTGTGATATTTCTTGATACAGGGCACTGGAAGCCTAGTATACAAAGAGGAGATCCAATTTGAAAGCTGTTATGCCTCGTGATCACCAGAGTTAATTCCTATAAGTGACTCAGTCTGTTCATCTTCACATTCATGAAGTCTGCAAGAAAAATGCTGAAGTTTAGTACATCAGATCACAATACTTTATTAATGCAACATAACCCTGAGTGAATCTTTAAAATTACACATGTAAAAAGTATTTTGAACACAAACATGAGGTGTTTTACTTTTAATTTCTGTTCTTTTAAAGAAACATTTTTAACACACATTTCCTTGACACTTGAATTTTTGTTATGTTGCCAAATTATCGATTTCCATAATTAAATACTTCCAGAATTCTGCATCAGATCAACATTTCCCAAATTATCATAGTGTAAAAAAAGAATGTTTATTTTATTTAATAATTTAATTACATTTTTAATTATAAATTTACATTGATTACATAATTACAAATTTAATTAGATTTAATCAATTATATTATTTTATTTAATACAACATACAAAAATATTAATTCAGAATTTAAAAAATTAAACCACGCGTTGAGCCACATTTGAAAGAAAAAACACGCTTTATTTTTTTCTGGTAGGTAAGTAAATTAATCTAACAATGCACAATGCAGTAATGTCATATTAATCTGAAATCCTTCGTAATCCACTTTGTAAAGGAAGCAAATAATTCATAAATTTCAATTTACTATTACTAACACTTCTTTTTTTTTTGGAATTAACATGACATAATTTAAAATGGCAAATACAAAATACAAGTGTCAAAGAAGTACTGTAACTAAATTTGATTAACAATCAGCTTTTTACAGATAATAAAATAAGATAATTAAGTACTTGAAGAATAAACATGTGTAGTAAAACCCCTCTTTCACACTGCTAATGGATCTGATGTAAACCTGGTGTAAATTGCAGGAATGTGAAAATGGTGGGATATTGTTTTTGATTATATAATTAAATATAGAAAATCCTATTCTCTAGTTAGATAATAGTATTAATCTTTAATGAAAAATCATTGAGATTATTAGGCTAATTCTATTGTTATTAGGGTTGAAAAACACTAATCTATTGTTTCTTCTAGAATACAAACCTCATTGAAATTCTGTTTGGATCAAATGAATAATGTGATAATTTGAACTTTTTTAAATCACACATTTCTGTATCCAAGAAAGTAAAAATAAAAGTTAGTAACAAGTACACATGCTTGTGTGTGAAAAGAAAATAGATTGGAATATCAACGCTCATTATCTGGGTTTCACCAAGAAACAAAACAATTGAGAAAATTGTTTCAAAGAAAAGAGAAAAGGAAATTTTGCTAGTTGCCAATAGTAATTGGACAATTACAGACACTCATACATGTAGTTACTTGCACAAATTCATACACATAGTTAACATTATATATACATATATTGCGTGAATTATTCATTCCCAATTTATCCCAGTTAGTCACAATGGAAAGATGACTCTCAGGATGGTAAAATTCCGAGATTCCTAATTTTAGAAACAAAAATGCGGAAAATAGTTGTGTAAAAAAAATTGTTTGATTGACTTACCGAATGGGTCGAGACTTCCTGAATATCACAAGGTACAACCTTCGAATACCCTCCAGCACAGGGTCCCAATTTTCATAATGCGCAAGCAAAGTAACAGCAAAAAATGCTATAAACATTGGAACTGTGCCTATATAAAAAATGGATGGATAGTTGACTCTTTTGAACACCACATCAGCAAACATTGACATGGGAATGGTAAGACTAATAGCAATTGTTGCTATCAATGATGATGTCAAAAAGCAGCCCCTATCAAATAAAAAGGTTCATTAAATTGGCATATTTGGAAACTCCAAGAATTACCTGAAATATCAATAATATCAAAAAAATATCAACCAACTCAAAAAATGAAATTAGAAGATTTGAATTATCATAAATTTAAGATTTTTGAAGGATTTTGATATGCTTCTTACATTTTCAATCCAAGAAATCCAAGTTTCTTGCTTAATGAGGTACAAAATACAAGTTCCTGAAAAGGATTATTTTGATGATACGAGACAAAATAAAAAGAATGAAAACTTCGTTCAAACCATGGAATTATCTACTGTTGCTCTTGACATTACCAAAACCCGCACAAAATTAAATAGAGAACAACAATATTAGCTAAAGTATATTATATATTTGAGAGGTTTAACATTGGTTGTTAATTTCCATTATTCTTTTCCTATGAATGTCACAAATAATATTCATTAATCAAATATTCAGAATATAACAAAATTCTGTAGCAAAACTTCTGGAATCAATTCTTAACACACAGGAGGAAAGAAATTCCATTCACGACGGCCACTCACTTTCTGAAACAAATCTCTGACATTTCGTGGTTTTCTAAAGCATTAAAAAAAAAAAAATTCATTGATAACTTTAAAGAGTATTAAAATCAAATATTAAACAAGCCTGAAACTATTTTTTCAGCTCACTGAATTTGCTGTGATAATGTACAAATTAAAAAGCATCTCAACAAATAGAAAATGAGCAAAAAATAATACTGTCCCCCCCCCTACAAATAACATCTAGTTTTATTATCACTTCAGAATTTTCCCTGACTTCAAATGATTCTTCCACAAATTCCCAGATTTTCTGTGACTTTTCCAGAGCAATGAAATTTCCTGAGTTATCCTGGTTTTCCAGAAAGTGGCCACTTTACCATTACAATATATGTTCCGAAAAGCTTAATTACAAAATTATGAGGCTGAGTAGTTTGAGCATTCTGTTTATGTATCACAAGAAATACTCAAAAGTCACATCTACCTACAATCTCAAATGTCTCTCAGGGGATTGAGGTCAACTTCGTATATTTGCAGCATTTCTAATCATATGAACAATTTCAGATATTTTAAATTGGTTTCATAATAACAATAGTAAAATGTGAAAGCACTGCTTTAATGCAGGTTTGCGTTTTAAATGAACATTGATATACCATTGAAAAAAAATGATGTACAACGAATGTACAACAATGAAGGTAATTTAACAAAATTGTTGTCTTCCATTGAAGTCAAACCTCCCATGGAACACCCAAATAAATGAATGAATATAGTTCATATTGCTATGCATTCAGAATTCTTTCAAATTTTAGTCAGTCTTGCATATATTTTGTGAATGTTCATTTTCACCTGAGATATCACATATTCTGGGGAAACAAACCCCCAGACTTTCAGATTACAGAAAATAATTGTATGAATAATAAGCAAGTCTCATCCCTGTTATTTCTGCAAGGCTCTCGTTATTAAGAAAGGAATCTTACCATTGCTTGCTTCTTCATTTACTAATCATTGATACTATCAAAACTGACTTTTTCAAGGATGGGAACACATTTTTATCCAAAACCAATTTCTATAATTATAATGGAAAACATTAGAATCACATTCATCAGGAGTCAGAATCAACAACTCGCCACAAAAAATTCACATACAATACATCCAATTTCCCTTTAGCAAATGCTGAGTTTGGCCCCTTTGATTTGCTTCTTGATCTAAATGAAATTTCACTATCTTCATAGTTATTTCATGAACAATACCACCAATTACACTAATTAATCTTTCTCTATCTTCTTGAGGCAGAAAGTTTATTGGCATGGAGCAGGGTAGGGGTAAAAGCTAATATTAATAGCTCATTAGCCATTGTAAATAATTTATATTACACAAGAGCAAATATTTTTTTGTTATCAAATTTTGCCAAAACCACTCACTGCCAACAGTATTTTATGCAAGTAATATTCAATGTAGTATAAAAGGAGGGTAGATATTTTGGTGGTTAAGAAAACATGCATAGTTTTTCTTCTCCTTCACACGTCACACAGTTTCTTTTTTTACGTTAATAAGTAAATTAATAAATGTATCAATAGTTACCAATTTAGAGACAATTTGTGCAGCCTTCAAGACACAGTAACATACGTAAAAATTTGGTTAATTCACATTAATAAAAGCTTTGATACTTAAACATTCCAGACCCATCTTGTAACTGGCTTTCTCTGGCCTCTCAGTATGAAGAAACCATTCCTGAAATTCTGCTGTTCAGTTTTGTTACATCCTGAATAATATCATTATTTAATCTTGTTATAGAAGTTGGGTAACAAAGTTTTGATACACGCAATAAAATGAAAATTATGAAATAAATCTTATGACTTATTGGTGCTTGAATGTACATTTCCAAATTATAATGTTTTGCAAACACTGGATTTCTCTTTATCTCTGAAAAATTTCCATTAATCTTCTTGTTTTAATGAAATAAGACATTTGTTTACACAAATAGTTAAGTTACTTTACATCTTGGAATTATGCAATTCCACCAAGAAAACTTGGCAGGCTTGCCCAAAGAGAAAGGCATTTTACCTGGATAAAGGATGATTAAACAGGAAAGGCGATAGTGGGAAGAGGATAAGGTTACGTCTCCATTTGCTTTGAACTAACTTAAAAGAGACCAGCATTAACCTGGAAATGTGAAGAATGATTCTTTGATCATTGAGGCCAAATATTTTGAACACCACATTTCAAATGAATCTCCTTTGTTCAAAGACACAGACACACTATAAAAACTGCTACAAAATAATCTACGCATCTTATATTTCGAAAAAACAAATCATCAAACTATTGAAAATAGAATCTCCTAATGGAAACAAAAGGGATAAAGACTAAGCTGATGGAAAATGTGATAGTAAAACTACTACTAACTAACCTGCACAATAGGAAAGTACCTCAGCGATGTTTACTAGTTTTGGGATTGCCATTCATAGACTATCATAAAATTAGTGAAATAACAGCATAAACTTTTATATAATGTATAGTGGATTTATAATATTTTCATATAGCAAACTGAATCCTATAAATTCTTCAATAATCTTGTTAAACTCTTCAACAAATAAAGAGCAAGAGATTTTAATTTTAAAATTAAGAAAGTTCACAGTTTTATTGCAAGGGCTTACACAAAATTACACAAAATGTATGCTTGAACCCCCCCTCTAATAATTACGTAATGTTTGCGACAAGACACCTCTGCCACCCCACCTCCCTGGAACTACATTAAGTAGAATTCACTTACAAAGCAGAAATTAATTGTATTAATTGTATTTGCGTTATACATCAAAATTTCTGACAAGCTATGCTCAAGCATATGATGACGCATAGGCTCTGAGTCGACTGTACAAACTACTTGGATTCTACTAGATACTATAGATCAATTTTGAATATTTTCCTCGTAATCTAAATGATTCAATCAATATATCATTGATAAAAAATATTTTCATTTATTGTAACAATTTATACAATATAATTTCTTTAATTTATTATTATTTTAAATTTATTTTCTTAATATGGTAATGTTTTAGTATATATTGAATAAAAGGAATTATTTCAGCAAATGCTAAACATTTTAAAAAATAAATATCAGCAACACCTGACACTTAACTATGACTCCCAACCTCTATGTGATGCAGCGTAATATTGCTCTGACACTCTGCCCCGCCCCCCAGCATTATGTAATTTATGGACAACCCCTTAATCCATGAAAATCCACCAACTTAATCCACAAAAAGGTTGTTGTTGTTTTTTCAGATTTATATATTCAATCTACTTACCATAGCCAAAGTACTTCAGACAAAACTGTGCCGACCAATCCATTCAAAAGCAGAAATGTCCACTGATGCTTGTTGGGCCACTCAAAGGATTCCCACTTACAGTAATGCAACAGGAAGAACAGGGGCCAGAGAAGCAGCAAGTTGAAGAGACCAACAAAACCTGTATAAATATTAAAATCTTTAGTAAATTGTATTAATTCAAAGAATATAAATAATTACCACCATTCCATTATTGTTGAACTGTTTGGCACAATTACAACAAAGAAAAATTGACACATTTTCATCGCTTTGCTCCCTTCAGAAAATTCTAACCTAGACAGCTTGACATTTCAGTTGATGGAAAGGAACCAACCCACCAAAAATCCACAAACAACTTGACAACAATTTTTTTACAAACATTTTTCAGTCAGCATTAAGTTAATTACACATGAACAATTGATTTTAAATTAATTGAAATTTCAACACAATTAATACCTTTTTATTATTTTTTTACCTATGAAATTTTATCCTCTTCATTGCAAGTGTCAGTTGCAAGTTTTCAGTTGCATTGTAAGTTTCTTAACAAATTCCAAAGAGCAATATATCAATTCATACTACATAGTTTAATTTAAAATCAACAATAAACATGCAAACAAATGAAAAAATAACAAAATAAATACAACCCCTAGTGCAAAAATAAGTAAAATGTCAAAACTAAGTTGAAATAATTAGAATATTTATTAGTTGAAAGGATGTAAAAAAAGATTTACTAACTATAATTATTTAGAGATTAGAAAATAAATTCAAATTACTTATGAGAGAAACTTAATAAATTTAAAAAACTAATCACATCAGTACCAAGCAGCAAAATATACAAAACAATATTTAATGGTATATTGTCAACGAACAATCTGTTGTTAGAACTGGAACTGCAACAATCTGTCGTTAGAATATTTAGAGACAGGTAGGCTGTTTGGAAAGTAAGGAGTACGAAAATATTAAAAATGTATGAAATGTAAATATAGTTATAGAATTTATATATTGCTTAGTTAAAGATGGTAAACTTTTAATACATGTCCTTATATTCTGATTTAATTATAGTGACATCTGACATTTGATCAGCAGGTTGTGATTATCCAATTGGAAGCTTCACTATGACTTAATTTTTGGTATTGAAGCTCTTGATTGGATAATCACGTTTCACCTGATCAAACTTCAGAAGTCACTATAATTAAATAGATGAATAAGCTTCAATACCATCTGAAATCATTTAATAAAAAAGTTACAATACTGTGTCATTTGACATTATTAAGAGTACAAGTAGTTTAACATAATGTTTCTTATTACAGCTTTACTCTAATAAATTCAGAACCTAAAATTACCTACTCATTCTTTTCTGTCAGTGCCTTCCCAGCACCTATATACACAAAACATATTAATATCTACCATAATAAGAGAGTAGAAGATGCTTAGTAATTTCACTGTTCTCATTCTCTTACCTACAGAAAATAATATGAACATAACCATCAAAATTACCAGAACTTTAATTGTAATGGATTCTTTTATGACACACATAGATTTTCCCAACATCCCATAACATAGTGCACATGCCCAAACACAAAATAATTAAATTCATTACCAAAAAACATAGGGATATCCATTTTATCTTCATGGTCCACTTTTCTTCTCAAAAATACCAAATAAAGGGCATAAAAGAGGGCACTCACTAATGCCAAAATTGCACCTGTAGGAAGTTTAATTTCAAAAGCTACATCAGCAAGGCTCACCAAGACCTGGAAAAAGTAGAAATATTACACTAAAATTTAGAAATTGAAGAAATAACTATAAATACAATTTTAGGGAGAAAATTCCCCTTAGGACAAAGGCAAGCTTAATAGCCATTCATTTGTAGCAATGCCTCAGAATTCGCAAAAAAATGTTAAAATAAATAAATAATAATTAAAATTACAAAACAATTAATTCCAAATTACTTATGAGAAGCACTAAATTAGTTTCCTACCAAAGTAGAAAATAATTTTTATAGACTGAAAATACAATCTTTTCTTTTCAATACAATCCCCTTCCAATTCAACACACTTCCTCCACTTTTCAGTCGAAGACGATATTCTAGAAAAATAAAATTATTTTTCTCTCCTATACTAATTTCCAACACACTTCTCATGTTCACAGGACACATATCTATGACCACACAAGTTCTCGGAGACTTCTGAACACAAAGTAACGTCCACTGCGCATAAATCTAAGCTTTAGGGTGGAAGGTGGATTCTTCAAAGCCACAGTTCTTAACTGCAGTGCAACGGCATTGGTCAAAAGTGAATGGTCAAGAAAGAAGCACACCCTTGGACAGCTTTCTGCAATGCTTCTCCTTTATGGCATTCCTTAAAACGAGAGGAGTGTTATCTTACAATTTTCCAGTAATTGTTTTCTTGTTTTCCATGTACTGAGTAGAATACCCAGCAAATTCACAAAAACTGTAGCCATGAGTTTGCCAGTTTACAACTTAATCTTTTGGGAGTCCGAGAACACTTAGGTTTCCATAGCATTAATTCTTGTTTAGTTTCAGTATCGCCAAAAAGTACCCATGTTTCATCTCCTGTGACAATCTGAGCAATACAATTCTCTGGATCCAACTAAAAAGCTCTCAAATTCACCTCACAAATTTCTACTAGCCCCTGCTTATAGAGAGATGCGAGCATTTTGGGAACCCATGTTGAACAAACTTTTAACATAATAATAATAATAATAATAATAATTTATTTGCTCATATTAACTCAATTCCACAAGTCTTGAAGCATTGTCATACATAAGTAAACATTCAACATTCTTTCTCTAATAGTTTTCATTTTTTTAAAATATAATTTTAGTATTCACAATTATTTACACTTTATATAGTTAATAGAAATGACAATCTAAACCTAAATTGTTAATCCTAAGTACATAAAATAACTTATCCTAAAGTAAAGAATATATAAATATTGTAACATTGCTTTCTTTACCTACGTTAATTCCTTTAATTTATGTAAGCAAAATTCAGTTAAGTAATTTTTTAGTGCTTTTTGAATTTATTTTTGCTTAACTCCATAGTATGGTTAGGTAGTTTATTGTAGAGTATTGCAGCATTCAGATACGGATCTTTCTTTGAGGAGGATTTTGCAGAGTACATCCTGTGATAGTTTTCCTTTCCTCTTGCATTGTATTGTACATAATTGAATTGAGTAAGGTCACAGTGATTGTTTATCTTGAGTATTATTACTCTATATGCATAAATTGCAACAACAGTCATTATTTTGTATTTTTTATAAAACATTTTACAAGATTGGTTAGAATGCAGCTGAAATATGCATCTAAGAGCTCGTTTCTACATTATCATAACCTATCCTATACTGCTTGCTCCCCATATTTCTAAACCATATTGAATGTGAGGATCTATAATGAATTAGTACGTGGTAATGTGCATTTTCACTGTCATATACTGTGAGAGATTTTGCAGTAAGTAAATCTTAGAATTAATTTTTTTCCCATAAGACATCAATGTGTTCATTCTATATTAGATTTTGGTCCATGTGTATTCCACGAAATTTGTGGCTTTGCACTGGGTGTACACAACCCATATGTTAATGAAGGAGGCTGAAAACTGTTGGCTCACACACCCTAATTTTTTAGTTATTGTTGTCACTTTGACACATCTATCTTACACAACAAAATCGATTCTCTTACACATTTTCGAATAGGCCGCTTCCACAAATCCCCCAGAAAACTTTTTTATTTTCAACCAGTTCTCTTTACCATTTAAACTGCTTAGATCAGTAGAGAATCTGGATATGGGGTGGTGCACTATTACTAAATACTGTCAGAGGCTGGATTCAGTGTCTTTGTTCAAGAGAAACTTGATGACAGTTCAGTGCTCCAACCATGACTATATGCACAGCACTACTGTTGGCAATCTATTTCTCTATGATTTTTTAATAAAACGGACTGAATCTTTGAATAAATTGTGTACATGCCTGAACTTGTAACAGCATGTGTGGAAGGATTAATTTTTCTTGAAGATGCTATTTCCATTTAACTATGTCAAAGAAAATCTACCCATTAATTCATACATCAAACTTTCCTATACAAAGAACAACGATGCACATCATCAAAATAATGTGCCACTCATTTCCTCTTATACATCAAATACAACACAATTCACCACACCACGCACAATCAATAAATTTCATTTGGAACATGATATGGACTTGTGTTCAGCATGATCTCAAACTACACACATACACTGAACCTAAAGCAATCAATGAGGACTTGTGTAACAGATTACTATTAGTTACCAATAATTTTATAACAGGAAAGATAATCAAGGGTGTTTTGTTTCTTTTTTTTTCTGGCCATTCAGTACATCTTTAGAAACCCAGATTTGAGAAGAGCATTGGATTTAAATTACACTTACAACAAACTTTTCTAAGGAAAGATCTTACTTGTTAAAAATAACACTTACCAAACCACTTAAACTGACAGATACTGCCACCAACTTAGAGAGTGTAAACCGATCTCCCAGATTGGAGGGAAATGCAGCCGCCAATATTAACGTAAATAAACTGGATGTTGATGATAAGACATTTACAATTGCAGCTTCTGTTTTTGCTAATGCAATCTGATAAGTGTAATTGGCAATAAACCACTGAAACATAGTTTTTAAATGTTTTTATACACTAATAAAGAAAAATAAAAATTGGTCCACAAATCAATAACAATGAATAATCAAATTACACCACATTAAATACTCCGAACTTCTTCAGAGATTATATAGATTCATTAAATATGAAAGAAAATTTATCAGCACTCCACTACACCAACATTAAAAAAAACAACTTATTTTAAGAATCGCATGAAATCTAGGAATATTCAATAAGAAAGTTAATACGAAACTAAAATCTAAAAGGTAAGTGGGCAAAACATTTTTTAACTTCAGAAAAAACAACAATTGCATATCATAATTGAACTTTTAAACCTCACAAAAAAACCAAGACTAAAACATAACTCAAATTTTATTATTTACTTAAAAATGAGAAGGGTTAAAATCCATACATACTCACCAAAATACAAAACATCAGAGCTATCTTTGCTACTTTTTGAATAGGAAATTTACTAGCTGCCCTCCTTGCCACTTCCCCTGCTCTCACACTTGCTTGATATGACAGGCGGGCAAGCAGAGCTTCAGTGGCATCTGTTTCAGACATATGACGCACCTGTCAAACATATCCATGAGTGTTGCTCAATCAGAAAAGTATGTAAAAAATACTTTTAAAAAGGAAATTACCTCTGCCAATTTACTAAACCGCACGGATTTTACTGATGAATCATCACTTTCTGTACCTGAACTCCGGTCACCAGGTTCTGGGAATTTTATAGGAACGTATGTTGGATCACTCTGACAAAAAAAAAAAAAAAAAAAAAAAAAAAAAAAAAATCAATCTTTGTTTTAAACCTTCAAACATTTTCTAAATCCTTTCAAATGCATATATTAATCATATCTGATACTTACTAGACTAGTATTAGCTTCTGTGTAGAAATTTTCATCTTCAGCATTTGGGTCTATGTACTGAAATTGTCATATGATGTATTATGGAATACACAATAACTTAGTAATGTAGATGAGAGCACAATCTATTCTTACCATGTATGCAGCAGGCTTATTACATTGATCTCTCCAAGGTGGCCAGAAACAAAGTCCTAAGAGGTACAATGAGAACATGGATGTTTTCATGTAGGTGCTGAAGAAAGGCTTTTCAAATTCTGCATCATGGTAAATATACTGCACCAAAAATAAATACCAAGGAATTAGCATATGTTTGTGAATTGAAACCGTTGGAGATTGAGCACTGCAGAAACTCACTTTTGTCAGCTCAGATGACGAGACCCAGATAACGTCGACAAGAAGCAACACAAACAGGCCCAGTAAGAGTCTCTGAGACTTATTCAACATTCCGCCGATGGACGAACTCACATTCACAACTTCCACAATAATCGTCATCCTGATCGCATGGCCCACTACAATATTCACTATCGCCGGATATGTAAACAGACGATACCGATAAATTGCTCAATGTCTCATTGCGGAAATGCTACTATCTAGACCGAGACGTCAACATAGCGCACAATTTTTAAGGAAACCTATGCACCTCGGTGCACCGGCAATGGTGCACCCAATCTGACAACTTTGTTATGCTTCTTTCTCAACTTCAGTAAGCGCATTATTCACCTCACGTCTACTGTCACTGAGTTATGTAAATACTGCGTCGCGCCTCGTCAAAACTCACCCACCACCAACCTTCACAACGCACGGCGTCTGAAGCGTGTCAACTGCACTCTAACGGGAGAATTCCAAATCAAAGAAACAACGGAACGCGCGAAGATAAATGCATCGCAAAATGCGGGCACAGGCTCCATAAAAAATTGATTATATTGACAAAACTCACTCACCACATACACTCAATAACTTAACTACAGGCAAGAGAAACATATAAAGCAATTAAATAGGCGAGATAAAATAGTTTACAGTAATTTATGTAGAAAACAATCCACTGTAGCGGACAAACTACTATATTCCCGTCGCACAAAACGTACGACTTGGGTCCATGTACTTCAACATTCTCAACTGCGAACAGTTCGGCGCCACTGCACGAACTTGAAGCACGATTAGCGGGCGGCGCCGTCGAAGTAGTCACGTATTTACGTGCCATAAACACACGGCGCGTGGCGTGTCCGGAATTGACTCTGGCCAGCTTCTCAACGTGCTGTTAGCTTCTTCCACTGTAACTACAAGAAAGCAGGTCGATCCAAAAGTGTTTTGCCAAAAATGAACGATATTTTAATAATAAAATAACAATGATAACTAATACAATAACAATAATTTATTGAATGTAACGAATCAAGTTTTTATTTGTTTCATTTAATTCAGACTTTGACTATGAACATATTGTATATGTTCATAACATCGAATGTACTAGAGAGATATTTTGCGAAAGTATTGGAGGGGGAGGGGGGCCTGAAATTCGGAAATAGGCCAAGACGTATCAAATAAAATATTTTATTTCCGCCAATACGAACAATTCCTGTTTGTCCCCTTTTTTAAGCTCTTACTTCGGGAATACACATTTGGAAAAGATGATCTCCAAATCATCTGGCAACCCTATAAATGATTCAACATTACACTAACTGTATTTCTAATTGCATCATTACTTCATTTTCTTTGTAGAATGGGCAGAAATGTAATTTGTGATACGATTCGTTCACGCGTGCTGTCGATAATGAGTTACTCGCGGCGCGGCATTTGTGCGGTCGACGTACTTTCCCACGGAAAGGGACGCTTCGCTACGCAGTTGTGGACGAGGTCCTCGCATTAACATTAAACATCCTTGAGTCTGTCCAACGCATTTTATGGGAAATTACACTTTAAAAATAAATTGAAGTGTGTATTTTTTAATGTTTTCCCGGAAAATCTTCATTTTCTGGCCTTCTGTTTTCACCATGCGATTTTTTATCGATGTACACTCGCGCGTGAACGAATCGTACGCGTCAGAGCGCGTGAACGAATCGTATCACATAATGCATTTCAACCGCAGTATGTTTTATTTACTTACTGGCAGATGTAAATGAAAACGTTTAATGGAAAATGGGGACCCAGAAATGTAGTTGCCCTCCCCTCTTGTGTTAGGCTGCGCATGCTTATTAGAGAGATCATGCATTGAAACTGAACTATTAGTTAGAAAGTGAGTATTAATTTGACGTAAAAAACAGTTAAATGTTGTGTATGACGTATGAGGGAGAAGTACAATCTATGCGCATTTTCTAGAGCTCTGAAATTCCTCCCTCGCCATTTACTATACTAAGTTGCTAGTAAATGTAGAACGAGCGTTTTTGGCAATATTTGCTAGCATGAAATCTTTCGTTTCCTTATCATAGAAATCCTTTACAACGGCAAATGAGCTGCAGATTTTGGGCCTTATTGTGCCTCACGTGAGGAATCGTCCCACTTCCGCTAAAGCATTGAGATTTTTTGATGAGGACCATTGACGAAACAATTAAACTCCCCCACAGAGATGATGGAAATGTGCGCATAGTGAAGCCACTTTTATATCCAGAAACAAAACACAAAACAAGGGGCCATCTCAACAAATTTATTCTTTATAGTATCTGTTATTCTGAGACTTTCTAAGCAGAATGTTTTGGAAACAAACTTTTTATTTATTTATTTATTTATTTTTTGGAAATGTCCTATGTTCAATTTTGTGATTTTTTTACCCTACGTGAGATTGAAATTCTTGAAAAGTATTGGCTGAAGAGCGTAGTTGCCGGGTCGCTTATCTCTCGAGCGTCTCGATCTTTCAAAACATTTTCTTCACATTTACTACTTGATGCGGTCGTATTTGTACTTTTTCGTTGACGATTATGTAGCAGAGAGAAAGTTACGTAATGATGCTCGAAAAA